AACATACTTATATAATATTAATTTTTTTGATAAATTTTATTTATTGATAATTAAAGATATTAATCATTAAAATATTGTATTGACCAGAGCAACAAAAAAAATCAACTTAGAAATGGAGAAACAAGTATAAAAGAACTAAGAAGTATTCCGTATGAGATACAGTAAAAATTTACAATGATGTAGGATTGTAGACGCATGTTAGCATGCATGATAACAATCCATTTAGCCTCTAGTTTTTATCATTTTTATTTTTTTTGCTAAAATAAATTATTTTTACTGAATTAATATTTTTTTAATTTAAATTATTTTACTAGATTTAATTTATTTTACTAATTCTTTATTAAATATGTTCTTCAAAATTAATAATATCTACTTATTAAAAATTATTTTACTAAACTGAAATTATTTTTACTAAACAAAATTATAATGAATTGGTAATTATTTTTACTAAATTAAAATTGATTTTACTAAATATTATTGTATTGTTTATGAAGATAACAAAGCCTCAGTTAATGATTTGATAACTAGTGATATTTAGATTTGTTTGTTCCTTTGCTCTTGTAAAAAAAATTAAAAAAAAAAATAAAACAAATAAAAATAAATAATAAAAAATAAAAAAAATAAAAAAGTTGATGATTGGATACACCATTCACTTTTGTTAGACTCAAGGATAAAATATAGGGGTACTAAATCACGTCAGGTATTTACCGGGTAACGCCCGTATTTTTAAAAATACATACTAATATACCCTCCCTTAAATAACCCATCAAAACCTTTTGTTTTAACTTTTACCTTTCTCTCTCTTCACCCTCTTCACCTACCCTCTCTCTTTCACCCAAAATTCAACCCCCATATCAACCACCACCACCGGTTACCACCATAATCAGCCACCAAGTTTTTATTTTATTTTTTTGTAAGAAATTTCAGCGTTGACGGTTCAAGGGCACGCAGATGGCCGGAAATCAGAAAGGAAAAGGGATTGTCTCCGGCGAACAGGTTAGTGGTTTCGTTTTTTTTTTTTTTTCCGTCGACTCCAAGGAACGCCTGGAGATCTGGAATCTCTAGGCTAGAAACGCCCAGAAATTCCGGATCTCCGCCCGTAAGTTCGAAAATCCCAGACGAAACACGAACGCCTGGAATTTCCGAACATATGCCCGGAGATCCTAAACTTCCAGGCGTTTGTCTCTGGGCGTTTTATTTATTTTTTTTTTTTTAAATTTTTTTTTATAAACTATTTTTCATATGTGGTTGTTTTTGTTGTTGCCGTTGCTGTTATTATATTATTTATTATATTATGTTGATTATTTTTAATTGCTTGTTATAAATTGTAGTTGTTATTATTTAATATGGTTCATGGAATTTAAAGTTAGTTGTACAACAATTTATAGTTAGGCAAAAGTCTCTATGTGATAATAAGTTTTTAGACTTTTGGATGAGCAATATATGTGGTGCATTGTTGTTGCCTTAGTATCATTAGTAGCTAGACAAATTGAAGCTCAATTTAAGCTCTTATGATCAAAGTAAGCGATGGTATATCCCTTGGTACAAGATCAAGGTTGTTTAGTTTACTAGCTGTTGATGATCAATTATAAATTGCCAAGGTCTTACATTTTTCCAATGGTAATTGTGACTTTCATCTTGGTAGGTTTGTTATTATTTAAAGGATTAATGTGCTTCACTTAGCTAAAATTGAATGGATTAGCTTAAGAGATTAGAGGGTTGTAAAGTGAGGAGCATCGTATAACGATGTATAGAGAGATTAAACAAATAATATGGCATAATATTGCCGTGTTGATGGCTAATTATGAAGAGCAAAGGTCTTATATGTTTCTGAAGGACAGTCATGTTTCGATAGCTCACTACTTGTTAACTGTATGAAATCCCAATATTTATCAAAAAAGCTTCATCTTTATCAAGTTTCTGTCTTTCCTCTTGTTTATTTGTTGTTGTGCTCATTTTAATTACAGAGAAGAGCTCAATTTTGTCACCTTTGATCCAAAACACGAGTAACTAACATTTAAACCACTACCACAAACTCATTAATCTAAATACAGTAAAAGAAAATCAAACAAATTTGACATAGCCATGGTAAAGTATGAGGTTAGAATCAATCCATTTGTTCAAGACTTACGACATAACATGCTGCCACAAGTACTTGAATGTTCAATAAATTATAGATAAGCGCAAATGTTGCCTCTTATTGAAGGGAGTTGACAATTTGTTGGGGTTAATAAAGATGTTCTAGATTATATGAGGGGGTACTAAAAGAATATTTTAATTAAAAGAATTTTAGTAGGCTAGGTAGTTGTAGGTAGTGGAAATAAGTACATAGTTTCATTTGTTTTAGTGTTATTGTTGTTATTATTATTATTATTGTTTTGATGTTATATATTATTATTATTATTATTATTATTATTAGTATAATTATTATTATTATGAACTAAAATTAGACTTATTTTAATTTCCTTTTGCAAAAAATTAAGATTCAGGGTTCGGGAACACGACCCGCTGTATCACGGCCCTTGAACGCGTCAATTAGGAGGGAGAGAGACCGATATCGTTTTCAGCCTCGTACCGAGACGGGACTAGTCCCTAATGCTAATATGGCGAGTTCGACCTCCGCAGCACAGAGTCATCATTCAAGGTCTCGGAGGGATGGGTCGGGTTTCGAGTCTGACCAGGAGGAGGGTGAGTCACCGGCTTCCCGAGTACTCGTACATAGGAGAACAGGGTTTATCAGGCGATGACGATGAAGATGACGAGGAGGAGGAGGCTGATGACATTATTCATACGAATAGGGGTGCTGATGGAAGATTTGTAAGTACTCAGGAGACTAGTCGTAGTCGGACTCTGATACAGGACAGCTGGTTAGTGAGTACGCCGATGGCCGGTGGTCCAGAGGATGGTAGCGTTATTCCTAGCTATGGTGGTCATGTTGCAACTGCTATTTGGGGTGGTGTGGAGCGAGGTGTTTTGAGATGTATGAGTAGAAGAAAGATGTGCACTACACTAGATCAGCTACGACAGTCGTTATTACCAGAGACATTAGCCCCGATAGATCAGAGCGGGCTATCACATCTTCCTAGTATTATGTATCAGCACCTCGACTGGCCCTTGATTTCAGCATTCGTGGAGAGATGGCAGCCAGACACTAACATCTTTCATTTGTCGTTCGGTGAGATGACGATCATGTTACATGACGTGTATCATATCCTTGGAATCTATGTAGATGGTACTATGGTTTCTACTGTTATGGACCCCCTACAGTTACGACAGTATTGTTCATTCATGATGGATTTTCCTGTCGAGGAGCTACGTAAACCCACTTACGCGCCTAGTGGCGCACTTTCTTCGAGGGTCCTCGAGACGACCTTCAATGTTGAGAGGCCCCTTGAGATCTACGCGGTGTCCTTTTTGTGGATTTTACTAGGTTCATCACTCTTTATGGACAAGAGTGGTAATAGACTTCATCCCTCCATCATCCATGAGCTTCAGCTTGTCGAGGGTACATTTGTCACTAGTTCCTACTCATGGGGCTCTGCAACTTTAGCGTATTTGTACCGTCAATTGGGGCAGGCCTCACGGGCAGATTGTGATTCCATCTCTGGTTGTCTCACGCTTCATCAAGCGTGGATTTATGAGTATTTTCCATGCTTTCGCCCTCAACAGGGCACTCTGATTAGGGAGCCTGGACGTGCACGTGCTTTATTATGGGATGTTGGTTCTCCACCGAAGAGCCCAGATCAGCTTTACGCTTTTCGTGCTCGACTTGACGTGTTGACTGACATTGAGGTAAATATGAAATTTATTATTTAGTTGTGATTTGTATCGCGTTACTCTTATGTGACTAATTTATTGTTTGATTATGCAGGTAAACTGGCTGCCTTACGGACCTGACCCTGCCAGTGTTGTTCCTACGACGTTGTTCTCGGGATTTTTACGGTATCGCTACATCATTGTGCTGTATATGCCTGGTCGAGTTGTCAGACAGCTTGGGTTAGTACAAGGTATACCTAGGTACCCCATTAGGCCCGAGAAGGCCAAGAGACCGAAGAAGGTTAAGATGTATAGTGTTGAGTTCCCAGCTGAGACGTCCATACACATGTGGGAGAGCTTTATTCCATTTGATGCGTATTGTCTACCAGTGGCTCGCTACACTAGACTCAGTCGCGGCAATCCTACATGCACGGTCGATTACATTCCATGGTTGGTCATATACTCTCACCCTCGTGTGTCACCCCCTGACGTACCTCAGGGTCGCGGTCTTCCCGAGAGGACCAATACTGATTATGTAAGTACATTTTCCTTTAGCCTTGTATTTATTATCTAGTATTTCATTATTTGTATTGATTTTTTAACATTTTATATTGTTTACAGTGGGTTGGACGCTTCGTTGATTTCACACAGCGTGCACTAGCGGAGTCGCACGGGCCCATGTCCCGTGAGACTAAGGCCATAAATACACAGGCCCTTCGTGATTGGGATGTTATGCGTGGGTTATGATTTGAGTTACGCTAAACAATTTTATTCTTAGTTGAACAGTTTAATTGTTGGTTGGACACTTTTATTATTTTGTTTTTCTGATTGTAATCGGACACTTTTAATATTTGTACGGACATTAGCACTTTACTTGTTAGTGTTTTTTTTAATTATTTTTGGCATGCTAACTTATAATAATAATAATAATAATAATAATAATAATAATAATAAATAATAATAATAATAATAATAATAATAATAATAGTAATAATAATAAATGATAATAATAATAGTAATAATAATAAATGATAATAATAATAAATAAATAACTTAAACAAAAAAAAAATCAGTGCAAAAAAAAAAAAAAAAGTGCAGACAAAAAAATCAACGCATTACATCTATCATGTTGCGACTAATCTTTCCCACAAACTAATTCTATGTTGGTATTGTTGCTCCCATCCAATAACGCTAGGTTCACGAACCCGGTACCAAACATTTGCAATCGAGGGAATCGGATGGCTTTAGTCAAGCTGCAAAAGTATAAAATGAGACCCACCAACAGTTGCTATAACAATCTCTCGAGTTGGTGCAGTAGCATTGTCGGGGGCCCGCAACGGTAACACAGTGACGCACGGATAGTAGCTCGTTGGTGTCTGTCCAATGCCATAACAAATCACGGTTGCATTGTATAAGGTAGCAATTACGTACAAATCCTGAAAGGCTACCATCCAATGTCTTTCCCCACTGGGGCACCGCTCCAACGAATACGTTGTATCTAAAATTCAAACCACCTGTTTCGTAATAAATCCTCCTATATAAGTGCAGATAACCAGTAATCTCATTAGCCATGAATTGTCGAGCTAACCTCCATTGCTCTTGATCACCCATGAAGAAGGCGGCAACACAACGAAAGCCACAATTACCATCACCAATGACATCATTCCACCCGGTTATGTAAGCCAATATAGGTTCGGGAAGCAAGTGAGCGTACCTACATTGTTCGATGTTGAATCCATTTCCTCCTGAAAAAAATACACATTCATAATGGGTAGAAAATAAATTAATATTGAATTCATAATTGGTAGAAAAATATATATAAAAAAAATACCGGATTCAGTTTGACGGTTTTGCCTCGAACTATGTTGGCCTGGCCTTCTCCCTCTACAACCGCTACTGTTACGCTCAACATTCTCAAAATGGCTACGGTTACGCCTAGTTGAATGATCCCGTGGACGACCCCGTGTTGAGTGATTCACTTCTGGCTCTTCAAGATCTGAATGATTCGGATGCATTTCATCTTCAATGATGCGAGAAACATTTCGAACAGAAACATTTCGAACTGTAACAGGGTCACTAGCCAAAACCTCGTCGACAAGTGAACGAAAATGTGTTGCTTCTTCTGCCGACTCGTCGACGAATTCCGGAATATCAACACCATCACCAATGACAAGGCTCTGCCAAAATGGATGATTTTGGCTGCAATACAACCCCTTTTTATCACGCATTGAATCATGAATCTGGCAAGCACATGGTATCCCATGGGTGATCCGTAGAGCACAACCGCAACGCTCATGCACCTCATAACTTAACCCTCTCATTCTTTCTATCTCATCGTAAAGAACAGACAAACAATGATGAGAAACCTTTTGATTTATCCGCTGCAACGGCATGTGCCTGTACTTCTCACCTACTTTAGATCTACTAGCCTCTAAAACGTTACGTATTCCAACAATCTGATTTCCAATCTGGCAATGTACTCGAGCCCATACCGTATCCAAAGAACCAGTTGATGATTCCATCCAACTCTTGACTGCCGAGTGCTAACTCTCAACCCTACATGTACAAACATTACCAAAGTGTAGAACTCTGTTCGTCCAACACGTCACAAATTTCTCTTTATGAGGGAGCCAGGTAGTCTCAACGTATTCCACAACTTTCGGATACCGAGCCCAACTTGTTTTCAATCTCTGCAAGGCTAACTCATATTCCGGCTCAGATGTAGCATTCATGACTCGATTCCATCTACCATTTTTTAACTTTGCACCCACCGTCTTGTCCTTGAACAATCCAGTCACATAAGCTTCGACGTCCTTATTAATGTGCCACCTACAAAGTAAATGCGTAGTGTGGGGAAACTCAGCTTTCATTGCTGCACAAAGTCCAAGCTCACGGTCAGTTAAGAACACTGATGGCTCCCGTTGGTATCCGATCAAATCCCTCAATCTCTAAAGCACCCATCGATAACTAGCCTGTGTCTCGTTTCTCATGAAGACATATCCAATAAGAAAATTTTGATTTGTCAGTGTAACCCCAACTATCTCAAAGAATGGCATGCCATATCTGTTTGTCTTGTATGTAGAGTCCATACCAATCACGTACGAATATGTGCGTAACAAGTAACACGTGATAAAAATTCGATTGTTCGCGAAATATCTTTCGCCCATTCAACAGCAGCATCAAAAGTAGGAAACACAGTGTCGGTTTGAAAATGGCCAGTGTAATTCACACCATCACCGCCATTTTCTGATTCTGAATCCTATAACCACAAAACAAACTACTTAAGAACCCATGAAATCATATAATAATAATGATATAATAATATTTAAATAACATAATAATAATAAAATTAAAACAGATAGGAAACGCCTGAAAAATTTGAATGTACCACGGAAGAAACGCCTAATATTTTAGAATCTTCTGTGGTACATTCTAAAATTTCAGGCGTTCCTACCATTGTTCGTCTGATAATTTAGTATGTCCCATGGATGAGACTACATTTCTAAGCGTTTCTTATATGAAGCTAGAGGAACGCCTGAAATTTTAGAATCTACCGTGGAACATTCTAAAATACCAGGCGAACAGAGGTAGGAACGCCTGAAATTCTAGAATGTTCCGAGGTAGATTCTAAAATATCAGGCGTTCCTGTGGCAATTACAAAAAAAAAGGTCTAAAAATTCACCGATTTCGTACGCACAGGTGACCTCTCCGGCGGCGACTGCAATTCCGTAAATTCGTCCATCACCCCTTGTGCAAATTGTTGTTGACAAAAGTTTTTTCTTTTAAAAAAAATAATTTCAAGTCGTGGATGGTGGATGGTGGATGGCGGCTGGTGGTGGTGGCTGTTTGGTGGCCGGTGGGGTGAAAATAAAATAGGGTAAATTTATAAGGGTTAGAAGTAAATTAGGGTAATAGTAAATTAGGGTAAAATTAAAAGGGGGCATGTTTGTAAGATCGTGTTAAAATACGGACGTTACCTGGTAAATACCGGACGCGATTTAGCAATTCACTAAAATATACATATACACCCTATACCATTCAGTTTGCATTTCTAATCCAATTTCTTATTTACAACAAGTAGTTGGATCGCTGCGTGCTACGACCAACTTTAAAAATAAAATAAATAATATTTACTCTCTTTATTCTATAATTATATGTCTATATTCGTATTTCAGTATAAAAAAATCACTTTTGTAAATGTTCTATTCAAATATTACATGTATAAATTATTTTGAATAATTTGTCCGTTTACATTGCTTAATGTATTCCTTAAAGTATGTGCAAAGAAGATATGTTGCATTTAAAAGAAAACAAAGGAATTATAAAGTATATAATATAGATTAAAATGATTATATATACATACGAATACAGTGTAGTTGTCAATACATATATTGAACTATTAATATAACTAATGATGTTATATACTACCTCTATTTCTTTTTAGTTGACACGTATTCCTTTTTACGAATTTTTTTTCGTTGACACGTTTCTATTGGGGTAACTTTTTTACCTTTCATTTACAAGCTACCCCACTTGCTTTTTCATTTTGTCACTCTCTCTCCTCTTCTTAATATATGTGCCTAAATCAAACGCGTCAACTGAATAGAAACAAAGAAAGTATTAAAAAAAATGTAAACAAAATTATAAGTACGGAAGAAACTAATTTGCTTTATAATTCAAGAGTGGTTTTATGTTTTTATCATAAAAACTTCCTTAGGGCCTGTACACTTTTGCTTGATTCCAGTTCAATTCAGTGCATTTTAGTTCATCTCCAATCATTTAGTTCAGTTTAGCTCCGAATTTCCTCCTCTTATAAAATATTCATTTTAGCTCAGTTCAGTTCAATTTAGTTCAGTTCCAATCAGTTCAGTTCAGTTTAGTTCAGTTCCAATCAGATCAATTCAGTTTAGTTCAGTTCCAATCAGTTCAGTTCATTAAATGTGAACATGCCGTTAATTAGTTGATCTTTTTCCATATAATTCTTACAAGTAGCATCTTATAGTAATATAATTTTGTTATTAGTACTATGGAGTATTTTTTATTTATCAGTTTACGATTTGATGAGGCTTTTCAGCTATTATGAATATTCTTTTCATTAATGGTTACATATTTGTACAATACATGTGTTGTATAATAAAAGTTTGGATAGTATACATATTTAAACAATAATTTTAAGTATCTGTATATGTAAAATTAAATTAGTACATTAAATTGAAAATACATGAAACAATTACAAATGCATCAATTATGAGAGACAAAAAAAATATATATAGTAATGCAATAAGTTCATGTTATATATACATACAACATTAAATTATATATCTATTTAACCAATCAAATTTGTCATGTTTTTAATTAATTCCTTTATTGTTATGGTTTATCATCTACTACCTACAATGTTAAAATGATACTCCCTCTGTACTTAAACAAGTGAATTGAAACGTTTTAAATATTTAATTTAATTCACTTTGACTAATGTTTGTGATTTATACAAAAGAATAAATATAATATTGTAGGTACTTGTTAGAATCGTCTCATTGAATAGGTTATTAATATGTAGTTGTTAATATTTTTACTTAATTAGTTAAATTTTTGCATTGACATATATGCAAAAGAGAATCGTTTAACTTACATATATACGGAGAGCGTAACTTCATAAAAGCCTCTCTCCTCCTTCCTCTATCCAAACCCTAGCCTCCATTGTTGAATTTTGAAGGGCTTCCATCGGTTTTTTGACTTCGTTCGAAATACACGGTTTATCTCCTATTTTTATAGGAGAAATTTCTTAGTTTTAAATCTATGATATTAGATCTAATGGATTGTCGTGAAATTATATCTTTGGTGAAAAATTTATCAAGTTTTAGAATACAGACACATGAATTAGAAGGAAAACATTCTCACGGCTACAAATTAAAGGATCTAGATTGTCTCTCCAACAAGGCTGAATTTTCCAGCGATATAAGCAGGAGATGTTCCACAGTGCAAGATATACTCGATGATCGTATTTTTTATGAAGGAGAATTTTATTTGATTCAATATATTAGGTATTTGTTAACGTTGAATCTCCATTGTAAATGTCATATGACTTTTAATGAATGAAATATTTTAGCTACTAAAAAAATACGGAGAGAGTAGTATAAGGTTAATCCAAAATAAAAATTACAAAATGGTACTCCATTTATTTCGTAATAATCGCAATACTTTTCTTTTACATCCGTTTTATAATAATTGCAAAAATTCTAATTTTGTAAGGGTCTACCACTATTTTATTATTTTTCTCTTCAATAACTCCCACTTGCATAAATATTTTATTATTTCTCTCTCCTACTAACTCAACTTACACCACCTTTTTAACGATTAATGTATCTAATCATCAACATGTAAAAATACTAATAAATTGTTTATATTTGTAATAAAAATTAACATTGAGACATTTTGAGAACATGTTAATAATTAATATTGGTAAATTAAAAATGATAATATAGTGTTTCTTTTTAAAAATAATTTTTCTAATGTTAAATTAAAGATATTTGCATCCAGTAAATGTAAATGAGAAAATAATTGTGAAATAAGGGAAGTAGTATTTATCTCCCTATCTATATCCAAATTTAATTATTTTTGTTGATGTGAAATTAGGGATATTTAAATTATTAAATGTAAATGGGAAAATAATTGTGAGTCAACACGACAATTTTTCGGGTTTGGTCAAAAGAGAGACACTTTCCATAAGTCAAAAGCGGCGACATGATGAAACCAATTTGAAAGCGACTTATTTAGATAAAGTAGTCAAATTATGTTTATCTTACATGTACTTAGTTTTGATAGATTTAGTGAACAACAACAAGAAATTGACATGAGACCAAACAAGAACATGACACAAATTTTTGTCAGTCGTACTCAAAAGTAAAAGGTTAATATTTCCTTATGATAACAAAACATAAAAAAAATTACGTTATTTTTGATAAATTAAGAGAACAATACAAAATTGACATGAGACCAAATACGAACATGTAACAAATTTTTGCTAGCCTTACTGAAAAAAGAAAAGGTTAATATAACAGAAATGGCAAAAAGGATGAAGTAAAAAAACAAAAAAAATGTTGATGCGGTTAAATACTACATAAATAAAAATCCAAAACAAACAAATTGGCATGGGGTGTCAGGTGTGGCTCTATTTCTCACCCACCAAACTAAAAGAGAGAGGAAAAAAAAGGAGTATGAGAATTGGGACGTAGAGGAATTACATGAAAATAAATTACTGTAGCAATACCCTTTAAGCCCAAAACATTTTTTCTCTTTTTAGAATGTTATAGATATAAGGACACCTATTCTCACTCTTACCACATTGACTGGCACATTTGTCGATACATAATTTTGACCGTTAATATATTTAATTGTCTATGAGTAAATTAAAATTGAAAAAAATAAAGTTATGAAATAGACATTTTTTACCTTATTTTTGCTAAAATTAATTTTTTTTTTATTGAACTTAAATTGTTTTTAGTGATATAAAATTATTTTA